AAAGTGCACAGGAGACCGAGTCTGTCGCGGAAGCTAGTTTGGAAGTTCAATCTTCGGGAGCAGAGGACGATATTAAATGCGAAGACTCATCGAAAGCTGTCGAGACGAATTTTGAGCTTATCGACATCGATGTAAGTCTATCTTGTTACTTTTCTTCGTTGTTAAATATTTATTATTCAGTGTAAGAGCACGTATTTCGAATAATACTATTGCGTTTTCAGATAAGCGACGAAAAAGAGTTGATCGAATTGGCAAACATTCCTCCAATTTATCCAGATATTCTACAGGAAGAAAAGAACAATATGGATTTCCAATTGAATCCGGAGGCAGCAGAGTTCGTGCCGTTATCACCACCGTTAGTATGCAACAAAGGCAACACACGCTTGCGGGATTTTGCCATTAGTGGCTCTCCTCTGAAAACAACACAGACGATGGATGATATTCGTGTACCGAGCCAGAGTGAATTCGACAAAGAAGTTTGTCGTCGACCAAAGGAGATAGGCGAGGAATCGCACGACGAAAATGCAGAGCTACAGAATAATAGTTCGCAGAGTTTGGACATATCCGAGATTTCGTCGACCAAAGCCGAAATGGGTGATGACGAATCCATGATGCATGTAATGTCTACCTCACAGTGGCAGACGGATGTCTCTTCTCAATGGAACGAAAAAGCGCATGACGATGCGGGTTCCGATTTGGAAGATGGCGATATTGTCACCAAGAACGATCCCATGGCTGTATCATTAACTCCAGCTAGCTTCAAAGCGTTCGAATTGAAAGTCGATTTGAATGCCTTACACATATTGGACGATAGTTCAGATGGTGCTGAACAAGCGACTACACCACCGCGTTCACCCGAGCCGTCTACGAAGATTGCATACGACGAGGATCGTCCGAACACACCTCTTTTGGAGGACAAGAATTCGATCGATGTCTTATGCGCGTCAACACCACAGCCTCCAGATGATTCTGTATCTGTAAATTCTGAAACTACTAACTCTGAAACAAAGATAAACGAAAAGGAAAGTTTGTTTGATAGCAATCCATTCTCGCATGAAACAGTACTCAGCTGTACTGCGAAAAAGATAATTAATAATGTACCAGGAATAGACATACAAGGATATGAATCCGATGAAAACGTCTCAAAAGAACACAGGGAAACCTTCAAAGAAATTTATGACATAGAAAATTCTTCTGACACAGAAGAGGACAAAAATTTATGTAAAAAAGAAGATAATAAAGATGCTGAAGACGCGCAAGTTTTTATTATGAGGTCGTTGGATAATAGTGCAAAAATGTTAGAAACGGAAAATGTGGAATCCGAAGTGCCGAAAAATCTTCCAGATTCAACAAGTCATTCAGATTTAGATAATGCAATACATGCCCCACAACATTATCTCTCAGAACAAAAGTTGTTATCAGAATTAGTGAGTTTAGAACACACGGTGCCAGACGAAACGTTACAAACGCAGCTAGACTATTGCGCTGTTAATCTTGAAAATGATGTTCAAAAGTTGGAAAATCTTATTGAACCACTGATCAATACAGAAAATCAGTTAAACCAATCTACTGACTGGACAGATTATTGTAAAACAGAAAAGGCAATGCTACACACTGAAAATCCCGACTGTGATGTATACAAAAATGATCCTTTCTTTGAAAATAAAAAACAAGAAGATATCGAAAAAATTTATAATGAAGATAAAGACAACGATAAAAATGACTTCAAACCAGACAGTACAACCGAATTAATATCTGACTCGATACACAAATCTAATTTTATGGAGGAGGAGCTGCAACACAAAAGCCAGATGTTTGAAGAATCTGTACCGATAACAATACTAACTAATGAGCCAATTAAGCAAGAGCAAATAGAAGAAAAAGCTGCGGAATTTGTATCGGCTAATGTTGATGAGGAGGTATTGAAGGAAGAAATTACTTCTGAAAATATTCCTCCGAAACAGGAAGAAATTGAATTACAAAAAACTGTAGAAGTTCTTGAAGATATCGCAACGATAGACAAGTCAAAAGAAGTTACGGAAGTCGCGCAAGTATCAGTGGAAGCCGCCATCGTTGCAACGGCGGCAGCCGTCGTCATTGCGAGCTCGAAAGGGAAGACGACCACTACAACGAGCGCGAAACGTCCAACGAAAACTACCACGACAAAAACAACGACGAAAACAGCAACGAAATCGCCAACTTCGCCCTCTAAAGCGATCAGTACAACCATGCGAACAACTACGACGTCATTACCGGCATCACAATCAACCTTGAAAAAACCTGCTACAAGTACCGCGACTCGTCCTAAGCAATTGGAAGCGACTAAAACGACAGTCTCAAGCGCTAGCGGTAAAACCACCATCACAAAGACAACGGTGATTCCCAAAAGTACAACAGCGACGAGAACCAGCGCTTCTCCACGCTCCGCTATAACGAGACCAAAAACTACCACCACCACCACTACCTCGTCGAAAGTGACTCCAGCATCGATCGAGAAGAAGTCAACGGTGAGCGGTGACACGAAATTGGCCAGTAAACTTGCCACCACAAAACCGGCGAGCACCACTGTTAGAACGACAACCACTAGCACAACCGCAAAGACACTTGTCAAAACGTCAACGGCTACAAAAACGTCAACATCCAACGTAACGTCAAAACCAAGACCCGCGTCTGCGACTTCAGCTACTAAACCCACATCAACATTAAAGCAGCCTACAACTGGCGTTAACGGTGCATCGCGGCCCAAGACCGCGCCGACTTCCGGTGGCACAACCAAGCCACGCGAAAGTAAACCGATCACAGCTACTGGGAAATCGCCGTTGATTGACAAACAGAGCAAAGAGACAGTCAATAAGCAAATTTCTCGTTCTGGAGCATCTGCGCCTAAGACGAGTGCTCGCTCTTCCGTACCCATCGGTACAGCTACTGGCGCTGCAAAGACTCGCACATCGGCTGGGAAATCGTCCGGAAACACTTCCGCGATCTCGCCAACGAAGAAAACTCTGACATCGAAGTCTACGTCGAGGACTACCTCCACCACTGTGACGAAACGAATATCGAATGAGGCTAAGGTATTGCAAAACGGAATTCCCAAAGAGGACGCCGTCATAACAGCAACGAACAAGCCCGAGGACGACGTACCGCTAAAGGATGCGTCGCCGGTGAACATGCCGATCGATAATCAATTGATCGCCGATTGAACAATCGATCGATAAGCTGCGAACTGTCCGCCGCTTCGCGACAACATACGTCGGCCTAGGAATTACACGTCGTCGCGGGTGAACCGACATATAGGTTTCTCCTTTTTATTATTGTTTAACGGACAGAGCACGACTGCGCGTCGGGACATCCACTAGAGTAGTGTTTAGGGATTTATACATGCATGTCAAACCGAAAAATTTTTTATTGTTCTTACGTGAATGCATACATATGTGACAGAGATATTAGTCTAACAAGAACGAGGCATACCCTAAACATTGCTTTTAACAACTACTGCCTTATCGTAATAAGGATCGATAGTCTTGTTATGTAAATATAATTCGGATGCGTTCTCATGCGTCATTATTTTCAACTGATCCGCGGGCCTGAGATTGTCTGAGAGAGGGCTCAGATGGTGCTCGTGGCGGCTCCTGAAAATAGACTCGGCTCCGATAATGGCAGTATGTTAATCTTTAACGAAACTCGATAAAATATATGGATTTTTTACAATTTTTTAATTTTATATGCGCAATTATAATTGATAACGATTACTCGCGACATAATTTTACTCGAATCACAAAAAAGAAAAGGAATGGAGGAGAGGGAAGCGTATATTTATTCTTGTTTGTTCCTATTTTTTGAAGTTGAATTCATTGCGAGATATATACTGACTCGTAATCATGATAATATAATACTATCTAATCTATGTGTACAGCACCCTATGGTTTAATGTGATATATCTTACAGTACTATATTAAATAAATTCGAATAATATGCACTAGAGAAGCCAGAAGAAGTTTATATATGTATATGAACGGAGAAAGAGAAAAGGAATCCAAAGGTTCAGTGAAAAAGAGAAAATTCATCAAAGGGAACCAAAAGCATACTGTGTCTCTTTGATATAATATTTTGGTTGATCTTATTTAAACTTCTCTAACCAAACATTTGGATCCTGCTTTTCTCAGCGCCGATCATCGATGTGGATAGTCGTCGTGTGCGCGCGTTTAAAGCTTTCAGACACCGCACAAATCTCAAATCTTCTTTTCTCTTGCGTTTCGAACTTCCACTGTTGGAGCGCGCGCTCGACGACATCTAATACTGTGGAAACTTCGATCGAAAATGGTTTCCTCCCCTTTTTTTATCCTGTTTGACCTTCGATCGTGAAATATACTTTCGTCTTATTTTATCAGAACCGATACATGCTCGTAATATTTTTTATGTGCGCTCACAACGCGAGCGTTAAATGAGCCTTCCCACAAGCACGATGAAATCAAGGATTAAAAAGACCGGCAACTCTTTTTAAGGTGAATACGTTTAATGCAAAAGGATACAGCGAGTCCACTGCGTAAGCGACTCACGATATCGACCAGGAATTTTATTCTTGAAAAATATCGCATGTGAAAATACTAGAAAAATCTATGTTATATGTAATATACTATGGTATTTTCGTACATTTTCATATGCGATTCTCGAGAAAATGTATCCTGTACACACGCACATATATTCGATATGATATGCATTAAAATGCAGCTCCGCATCAACGAGGGAGCGTAGCTTAGCGTTTCACATGCGCGTTTCGTATACATGTTATTCCGACTTTCTTGTGTACGCGTATTTGTCACCATTTTATTCTTTTTTTCCTCAGAATTCATAATTGAATAAATAAATATTACGTTTGAACAGTGTTATATCCAGCATTATATATACGTCCTCTCGTCCTGCCCGATTCACACCTTACCGCCTCTCGTTTCGTCTCGGGGAAATGGAGTAAGTGGACAAAAAGAAAAGAAGCACTCTTGTACATTTCAATCTCTTTAATGAAGTGTGATATTATGTACTGCTATTTTTAAATTAGGAATCGGCCTTACAGTCTTTTGTATATACGCTTGGCTTGAACGTCGCTCTCGTTGGAGGATAGGTGCTGGAACGGAAAAGAAGAAACGTGTAAGGCTCGTGCATTTTGTCACTTTGCGTCATTGTCGCACACTGAGAAAAATGGTTGGACGAATCAGAAGATTCTGATTACATCAATCAGTATTCGATTATATTTCGATTAAATTTCTAGTAGATTAATCAGAAAATTCAGATTCAATTTCAACTGGATACAACTGGACATTTTTCTCAGGATCGTTTATATGACATTGTTTGTGTAACACATTGTTATTGAAATCACACTTACCACGATCATTTCAGTATCTGTGAATTCGTAATTTCGAATCGCTTTGATACCTGCGGATAAGGTGGTCTCCGTTCTGAAACCGTTGCTTTCCTTCGTGGTCACGCTCTGCGTCATAAAACGAATACATAACGATGTAATAATCAACTATACTTATTGCAAAAATAATAACGTTAGAACATGTAAGATATTATCTAAATTCTTTAGAATGGAATTTCACTCTAAAGAGTGAAAATTGAGCCAGTTTTGGAAGAGTTGCTCAATTTTCAATCTTTTCATAGTGAGATTTATTTTTAAAAATTTTAGAGTACATGATGTATTCAGTAGAATGTTAAATTAAAAATTGGCCGTGTTTAGAATGTTTATTTTGCAACTGATTGAAAGTTTTTCTTTTCTCTCTCTCTCTCTCGTACTGATTAAATCATATTTTTTTAGATTTAAAAGAATTGTCCTACCTCTCAGCGAAAAAAATTTTTAATAGTTACAAAATAAACATTCTGAACACGGCCAATTTTTAATTAGAATTCTTAGATCTTTATATCCTTCAACTATCGTTGAATTATCTCGCACTTTTGTGCGAGAGAAATAGAAAAAGAAGACTCACTATTTAGCTCGCAAATTGACGTGAATCATGCGAAAAATCAATAATCATGTGGAAGTTATTTTAATAATTTTCTGCACACGAAGAGTATTCTTTCTAACTTATCTTCTCCGGAATATAAAATCTCGGAATCTCGTAGCTTTTCTTTGCTACTTGGAAGAAGATATTCGGTAACTTTAGACGAGACTTGAATGCATTAGCTGCATTCAGCAAAATATTTTATAACTATTGAGAAAGTTTTTTTCGCTAAAATAGAACTATTCCCCTAGATCAAAAAGTATAATCCAATCAGAGCAAAAAGAAAACTTCCAACGATTGAAAAATAAATATGCTGCTGAACGTAGCCTGTGCATTGTATTTCACAATATAGAAGAATAATTATTATATTAATTTTTAAATTTAATGTTCATATTTGATAACGTAACGTGATTCTCGCGTGAAAAATACAATTGAAATAATTGTATTTTTCTTTCGATGAGACCTACCTTAAAGGTGAGACCCGGAGTTGGAAGATGTTCGTCGTAGATTTCTCCAAGTTTGAAAGTAGTGGTGATGGTCTTGTCCTGATTGATGGTGACCACGACAACCCACTGATCGCCGTTCTGCTGGATCTCCACAATCGGCGTGGTCTGCAGGAACGTGTCGACGAGTTCGCCCTTGCCAAGATTCTTAATGTAATCCTCGAAGTTTTCGCTCGACACGTATTGGTATTTGCCAACTATCTGCACCATGATGATCGTGATGATAGCTTGTCGCGCGCACAAGTCGAGATCTGAATCGTTGCCGAAGAAAGACGAACGGCGCGCCGGATCGCGCCAGCTTTTATAACGACATCCGGGGGGGGATTTCGTTAAGGGATCTCGCCGATCCCGCGATAGAGAGAGAAAGAGTGAGAGGGAGGGAACCACCGGTCAATCTACGATGATTCCAGACAAAGTATTCGGATTATCGTCGACGGGCTGATAGAGACCGGCCTGTCCTGTCGTTCCATCATCGTTGTTGATGTACCCTTCACACATGATGGTGGGTGTACGCGAGGGACGGAAGAGAGCTGCATTTATTTGCATCTGTATGTACTGGTCTGCTCGCGACTTACATCCTGCGCTGTGACTTAGTGAATTTTAATGTCTTCCTTCATGTCTTAGAAACATACCGATACACAATCAATTTTGTCGTTTATCTTGCGTCAAAAACTTTTTAGATATGCTTTATTTTTTATTCTAATACTTTATATGATCACTGATCAACTCTTACTGTAAAGAAATTATTATATTATTTTTATAAAAATATAAGTTGGACGTACATTTTTACCATATATCTTTCGTTTTATTTAAAAAAAAGATTAGAAAAAAAAGAAATACGATTGTTATTCAATCATATCATCTTTGTTTCGTTGACATTACTGTCGAGAACATGTATTGAATTGATAAAGTAATCGCTAAAAGTATACTCACTTAAATTCCAAGAAGTCTAAGTATCACGTATAAGAGTACCGAGTAAATTGATACCAGATATAAAATGTGAGAAGTTTATATTGTAAAAAAAAAAATATTATAGATTTTGTCGCCGATAGTAGCGATGGGATTAAGTATCTTACAAGTAGATTCGAATCTGTTAAAGAAGTTTCGAACTCTCTATGATTACTTCGAAAAATAGTAGCAATACTTCCAAGTAGATTCGAACTTAAACGAAATAGGTTCGAATCTCTATGAATATCTCGAAAAATAAAAATAGTACTTCCAAGTGGACTCGAACCTAAATGGAATAGGTTCGAACCTTCTGTGAGTACCTCGAATGCACAGATCATGTGAATTTCTGTTCGTAATAACCCTGTTCGAGTACTACTTGTAAAAGATTCGATGTTGTACGATAAAAAGTACTTTGTAAGTATATTTCGAATTTTGCAGGTACTCGTATGTAAGATTCGAAACCAGCAATTTGGGATCGATTACTTTGCAAGTATGAAGTATGAAATATTATTTCTTATGAGTATTATTCGAATCCTAGAAAATGTGAAACTAAATTATTGAATTTGACTCGAATTTTTAAGTACATATTGAGTTCGATCCCATCTCTGGCCGATAGAAGTAATCAGTATTTGCGATCGTTATTATTATTTGTAAAGTGTATCAACAAGTTTTCATTGAATTAAAGGAATAAAGCAGTTGCAATTTACTTGGACTGCGTCTGATAATTCTGATAATTATTACCAGTACTGAAAATCTGTAATGCACGTAACATATACGAGGGTCGTCTGAAAAGTTTTGAGCCTCATCATGAAGATGGCGTTACCATTTCAAGATGTCAAAGCCATTCTGGTATTATAATCGTGATACTTACGAAAGATATCTGTGACAATTGTGGCCACTTTGGACGTTCAGTTCTTGTTTGACAATCATTTGTGTCATTTTGTAAAAATGGAAAAAATTGAATATCGTGCTATAATTAAATTCTTGCATTTGAAAGGCAATACGTCTACGCAAATTAAAGCCGAGTTG